TTTTTTATGTGTTCTATTAAAATCTGTATAAAGTAATTTTGTTTCTATTTTCTCTTAGATATTAAAACTATAAGTTTATAACTTTGTATATTACAACAAGCTGATACAAGGTTTCGTAATAATTATAATTGCAATTATAATTACTACAATTACGTACTTGTGATCGTCATGCACACTTACTTTTTTCACGAAAATTACAGGTTTGTTAAAATTACTCAAATACTTGCAATATCAAGTACTACTTTTTATCGAAATAAGAAACAATTTTCGTTGTTACCTCGTTTCTTCTATAATCTATGTCAAAATGACTTTGTATAAATACTTATCTTACTTATACTTTTTTAGCATATCGTTCATGTGGTTTACTAAAAGATGAATAAATTTTAACATTAGGTCTTTCTGATTCAAAGTCTTTAACATCCTTCGGAGTTACAGAACAACCAGTTATATCCAACTCTATTAAGTTTGGTAATGTCGACAACATAATATTGATATCTGTTTTTGTAACATGTGAATAATGTCTAAAAACATATATAAGCATCACACATTCTGTAAACTAGTTTTTGTTTTTGGTTTTTAGACTTACGGTTTACCTAATATGTAATATCTTCAAATTAGTACATCTACTTATATAACGACTACTATTTGACAACAAGTAGTTCTGGAACAGTTCGTTCCTGTAAATGATTATTTCTTCAATTTTGTTTTCAGCAAGTAAAGGCTAAATCAAAAGAAGGTATATTATTATCTACTGCGCAAAAAAAATGGATAATGTTTGTTATTATTATTTTATAATGCAAGCATGTATGTTTGAATAACTAAAATAAAGGAAACGAAAATATGGAAGACATACTTCTATTTTATCAAAAAAGATATCACGCGTATCTTTAAACAAAGGCACGTAGTTTTCGTAAGAAAAGTTTCGTGACTCTTGGAATGATTTAATTGACAATTCTTTCCTTAAATATTTAGGACATTCTAAATACAGTTTATTTAAAGAGTCAACTTTACAAAACCATTCAAGTAACTTATCCTCTACTACTGTGTTTTGAAAGTTTAGAGTCTATAAAAAAAGGAAAAAGAAACAAACACTTTTATAGAAAAGTGTGCTTTTCACAATAAATAACAAGCAGAGTTATTAAAGTTTAAAATAAACAATACCTGAAGTTTTTGTAAGTCACAAGGAAATGTAAGTAAAGTTTTGTCTGAATACCAAAAGTCTTGCACACGAAAACATGAACTTACTTCAAGTGTTTGAAGTTCTGTAAGTATACATATACTGGCCACAATTGACGGTTGCGAATCCCATAAAACGTTGTTACAAATCAAGTTCTAAAATTTATATTTTTAATACAGTATTGTGTTGTTAAGAGAATACTGGATACCGACTATAGGAACCTGTAAATGTACGTTGTAATATTTCGTTTGGTGCCGTATTTACTGCATAAAGTCCAAAATGCTTTGACAGAAATCAGTAAATTGTACTAAAATATTACTGTTGTTCTTTGGAATGTTATAATGTAGTATAAATTTTTCTTTTACAGTTTATTTCTATAATCTCACCATATATTCATGTTCATATAAATATGTCTAAATTTATGTACGTATTTATACTAAACTACAACAATGAATACGACAAACAAGAATCCAATGAGACTCTCACATTATGATTGGAATGTGTAAGTGACAAAAAAAAGCGATTCTCGTAATGACAGTATAAGTTATCATATACTATCTTTGAAGGAAAAAAGAGCAGTATATATCTGTTTTTTTTTAAAAGCAGTATGTAATGTTTTATATTTATTTGCTTCTGTAGGAGCATCTTTTACGTAATGCAGTACACAAAATTAAACAATAGTGAAATTTATTTTTAAATCATCGATTTACAGGTTTCTATAGTCGGTATCCAATACACTCTTACTCAAAATGTGTATGTATGATACAGTACACTAGATATATACAAAGATGCATAAATATGGAAAAGATGTATAAGCAACAACTTACTTTTATATTGGGTAAACAAGTAAAAAAACAATTACGAAAGTTATAGTTTTTCTCAAGAAGAGTACTAGTTATACAAGTTTTGACTTCAAGTTTCTCAAGAGTTGGTAAAGTCACCGATAAATACTAAAACAATTTTAATAAAGTGTCATGGATTTGTAACAAAACTAAAGAAGAAATGTTTTACCAGATGTATAATGTGCTATAAAAAAAAAATGTCTTGAAAAGTACTATTATAAATGTAGCATATGTACTTTGATAGCTATAATTTTTACAGACATATGTAATGATATACCACACGATTATTCCTATTAATAATACTATTCTAAACGTAAGGAACCAAACCAAACTGTAATAACGTAAATAATAATATTTTTTGTACGTGACAGTCCTTATTTTAAAGGAAGGGAAAGTGCATTGTAGAAAATATATTTAGTAGAAAATTTGTTTAAATTTGGATGCTAAGAAATTGAGACCTTGCAAAACACTACTCAGATATTACTTAATATAAACTAACATCATAAGCGATTAAAGTTGCGAACAGCTGAAGCATTTTATTTTACTATTAATAATATACTATACCATTTGAAAAAAACGACTAGATCAAACAAAAAAAAATAAAAAATTATCGTATTATTGTGTTTTCATAATACACAATTTAGCTGTTTGTTGAATGTGTACGTATTGTATAAATATTTTCATAAAAACTAAGGTATACCTTATTTATATTTTCTGCAGTTGTAACAATAACATACTCCTCAATAATCAAGGTGCGAAGTCTCTGGCATATTTGTCGTAATTTAAGAAAAAAACAAGGTAGAAGAAAATTATCTTTGCTTTGATAATAATCTCCACGTATTGCTAAGCTGTATGTTAATGGTTTTAAGAAGGTTTCATACGGTTCCATTTGACACGGAAGAATAGGTTCTTTGCGATAGTCCAAATTCCATACAGAGGTATCTGCCGCTAGTCTTGCAAATCTTGTGCAACATCTATAATAAATAAATTTCTACAAAACTTATTTTGAAACATATAAAATATAAGTATATTATTTTAACGAGAAGCGATTGATAGTATTTCAGACGATTATATATAATTTGGCGAACAAGTCACACAAGTATGTATACTAATACGACTGTTGTTCTGAAAGATACTGTTTGTCAACAACAACAATGTCGTACTACTGTCGCGATTTCTGCATTGTTTCGGATATTTATCTATCACTTTATGTAAATAAAAAAACTTACAATCTGAGATTATTTAAATCGGTTGAGTCATTCACATTTTTAAATATACATAAAAGAACTTCATCTGGGAAGTCAAGAATATTTTTTGTTGTTTGTTGTTCTGTCTTTTTGTCTTGTATCGGCACATCGTGGTTGTGCTGTTTTGTTTTATCACTTTCTACTTCAAGGTTTACCTTACTGTGAGATTGTTTTCTAGGTTTGCCTTCGAAAGAAATCGAAGATTTCTCCTGGTTCATTGTTCTTTATATTTTGTAATCTTATATGAAAAACAGCTTATACTGAGAAAAAGAAAAAAAAACAAATTTTTAATTAAAACTTCCAATATTATTTCGTTTGTGATATGCTTACGTTTAGTACTACTAACGGCAACTGTGAAGAACTTAAACTGCCGAAATGTCGAGAGATGTAACACACGTCTAATCTTATTTGGCTTATAGGAACTGAACACAATGCCGTAAGTCCGTTTCATTACCTTTCTTTTTGAATGTTAACTGCCATCCCCACAACTTCTTATTTCTGCCTCTGCTGTTTTACTTGTCAGTTTTATCATCTTTGTTTATCTTTGATTGACACACTACTTACGTCATACTGTGAATGTGTGCCACTTATAACTATAGATTCCTACTTTTTCTACTGACAGTATTGTTGATGTAATGGAGAATTACTACTCCTCTTTCTCTATTTGAAGTTTATACAAGATAGATATTTTTAAGGAAGTAGGTAAGTAAACGGAGTCTTTCATATATGAAGTGCAAAAGTAACATACGAATTTTCAGAGTAAAAGTTCAATTCAAAAAACTCATGTGTAAGATTTACACGTATACATATGTGTACATCTATATATACACGAATATTATCGCAAAACTTCCAGCGAAGGATTGGCTCTTAATGACCAATTTACATGTACTTATAAATATTTTCACAGAGTCATATATGTAATACTCCTATATTGCTAGTACGGTGCCGACCTGAAGCTCACCGTTACGGTGCAGACAATATAGTAGCCTCTCTCTCCAGCTGCTTTGTGCGCATG